CCAAACCCAGCTCTGTCCTGTGAGTCTACAAATGGGTCAGAACCAAATCCAACTCTGTCATGTGAGTCTACAAATGGGTCAGAACCAGTTGCAGAAGGATTTGGATCATCTCTCTTGTCTTTTGGTCCTGCAGGGCTCAGTTTAGTGTCAGAATAACTTGAGTCATCTGGTGTCAGATCATTTGGTGGGTTCTGATCCGTTCGGTTCTGATCCGGTGAAAATGGTGTTACTGTCTGGTGACCTCCTGGTACATATCTGTCTTCTGAGCTGTTTGTTTCAAATGAAAGACCATCATCAGTGTTCACCCACCCTCCACCCTGCCCTCCATCCCCCCACTCTTCAGCGGTCTCATACTCAGACCCAGATCCGTCCAGAGACCTGGACCACTTGTCTCCTCTGTGTCCTGTACTGTCCTCCATCTCTTCCCCAAATTCGTCGGTGAAAAGTAGTCCTGGAGTAAATTTCCTACGATCTCGTTGGCTCAGCCTGTCACTGTGTGAATCTAGCTGCTCAGTCTGGTGTTTAGCGGCTGCAAAAGGATGGATCTGATGAAATGGAGCTTCACAGCAGCTAACCTCAACGTCCTCAGCTCTGGGTTCACTGTCCTGCTCAGAAGGAACCATTTCTTGGCCTGGCTGGAAACCCTCAGACTGGTGCCAGCCTGAACCAACACCCTGAGAGCTGATCTGCTCCTCCTCCAGGTTTTGGGCAGGGACCTCCTGGGCAGCAGCATCTCCATTTGTTGAATCTGAACCAAAATCAGCTGACCAGTCTGCAACAAATCCAGCATCTGCCACCTGCTTCAGACAGAACATTAATGATTAATAAACACAAGATATCAGCTTTATAGATTTTAACCTAACATATCTCACTGTAACCGACAGTAACGGATGGTCATAGACCTTAAACAACATAACTGACAAAAAACACAGTCATTTGTTAAGCAGCAGGTCTCGGCTCCCCCACAACCAATGATTTACAGGCTGAATTCAGAATGTCTTGGTAACCTTATCACACTGCTCATTGCTCTTTCAACAGCTAAAGTAAGCCAACGGAAAGTAAGGCTGATGTACGGATATTGAACATATTTTGCATTTTTAAACCAACAGATGTTGATAATAAGCTCAAGTTAAGTAGGTGGGTTATATATATATATATATATATATATATATATATGCGCCTAGAGTGCCAGGACTCCTGGCAGGGACCAATGCAGACATGTTCCTGTTTCTAGTTTTCTACATTCGCCTTAGAATCTAGCTGTTTTTTTTTGTTACCTTTTTCTTTTAGCCATCCTATTTGTTAAAGAAAAAAGAAAAAAAACTGTAGTATGACTTTTTATAACCGTTTATTGTTGTCGCTGTTGTCCATTGTTGTCATCATTCTTTGTTGAAATCAGGTCTCTCTTGTAAATGAGTCCTCGAGGCTCATTGGGATTTA